ATATTTAATTTTGGCTTTAGGCTTTAGCCGCCCCTGTCTAGATCCACCGGTGTTCTTTTTATAAACAATTTGGAATGTGATCCATAAGCTTGCTTGGTCCCAGGACTTACCTGACCTGATGAGGCTAGCGTTGATTGAACATGTATCTGAAAGTACTTAAAAATATATTTAAAATATTAATTTTAAGAAAAGAGTATGTTAGAAGAGCCAATTAGTTGAGTTACAGTTTTTTATATATTTAATGAAGTTAAAATATTGCTAAAAAGAAAAAGATTAACACAATTTGATAAATCAAGAAAGAGGATAAGTTTAAAATCAAATTAGAAGAGATTTATGAAATTATACCCTTCAATTTTATTTTATTAGGAGGAAAAAGAAAGGACCGTAATGCTATGGTAAGAGGGGATTTCCGAGGCATTATCTTGGCAGTTGCATTACGTTAAGTCAAACTCAGATATCAACGACACTACTGAATTTTTGACAAACCCCAAGTGAAATCCATTGGTCATGTTACTCCCTTGCGTCGTGCCATCTTTTTCTCCAAAAAACATCAAACTTGCTAGCTACTGCTATCTTAAATTGCTCATCTGTCTTTTCCAGAGTAAAATCCATTTCCCCTATCCTTGCCCAAATATATCCAAGAGTAGCAAATTTAAAACGATAACCAGATGACAAAAGGAGTTTGTATCAAGTGTTGACCTTTCATTTGAGAGCATTGAGTCATGAACCAAATCAATCCCTAGATTCACATTCTGTGTTTCTGCATTTTATCTATTAAAAGCTCCGTCTAAGTATATCACAGCTTAGACCGTGACTGCTACTCAGTCTTGTCACAACAATTCAAACCTGCCAAAACCTAATTAGCTAGTTCTCTTTTGACTCATTGCCTTCATTGAGGGAACTGACATTCAGCTCCAAACATTTTCTTTCTATTTTTTTTTTTTTGAGGAAAAGTGAAATAATAGAAATCAGTAAAGTAATACCTCCCGTTTCAACTAGATGAGGTGATTTGACTTGACACAAAGTTTGAAAAAATTTTGAAATATTTTGTTCTAAAAGCTTAAGGAGCAAAAATTTTGTAGGGCCATGACATTTGTGTGACTATAAAGCTTCTGTTATTTGTGGCTTGAATTATTTCCTTGTATTTTTAGGAAACCCATTGTCCTAATAGATTTGGAAAAGGAAAACCTATAGTCCTTGACAAATTGGGAAACTTTTCTCATATATGTTTGGGATCTATATATAGGCGTTGTAGTTGGGGATTCTATAGATTGTATTGTGCTTTTCTTCTCATTCATAGTGGAAAACTCTCTTTGCTTTTGCCCCGAGGATTAGGCTTAGCCGAACCTCGTTAAATCCTTGTGTTGATTTTTCTTCTCTATTTGCTTTGTGTGTGATTGTGTTCTAGTTAACTCACGATAATCCGCAACAATTGGTATCAGAGTAAGGTTCGGGTTTCTACATATAATCTAGGGTTAAGATGTCTTCATCATCTTTAACAAAGTACGAAGTAGAGAAATTTGACAGAGGTTCTAGTTTCAGTCTATGGAAGATTAGGATGAAATCGTCCCCGGTGTTACAAGGATTATGGAAAGCAATTGATGAGGACTTTCCTGAAGATATGAAAGAGACAAAGAAGGAAGACCTGAAGGAGAGGGCTTTGAGTGCGATCTTCATGAGCGTTTCGGGAAATTGCTGAAGAAACTTCTGCAGCAACGACATGGAAGAAGCTGGAAGATCTGTATTCTAAGAAATTGCTGACAATTCGCCTCTACCTGAAAAAGAGGTTATACAATCTACGTATGAACGAAGGTACACCTGTTAAAACTCACCTTGATGAGTTTAATTCAATTATAATGGACCTGAAGAATGTGGATATCAAAATTGAGAATGAGGATCAGGCCTTGATTGTGCTATGTTCTTTACCACAGTCTTATGATACTTTTGCCGATACACTGCTATATGGGAAAGACAACATTTCTCTAGAAGATGTTAGTAATGCACTAAAATCTAAAGAGTTGAAAAAGAGCTTTTCAGACAACAGAATTGAGGGCGAGGGTCTTGTGATTAGAGGAAGAACACAACAAAAGAACTTTAACAGGAAAAAGTCAACCGCAAGATCAAAGTCTAGAGCAAGGAAGCAACACTGTTATGAGTGCAGGGAGCAAGGTCACTACAAAAGAGATTGTCCTAAGCTGAAAGAGAAAAGAGGGAAGCAGAAAATAGATAATTCGGCAAATATTGTTGACAGTGGCAATAATTCTGATGATAGTGATTATGTAGGGGAAGTTTGTGTTGTGAGTTCTAGTCATGGGCAAAATTCTTGGGTTCTTGATTCCGGTGCTACTTTTCACATGTGTCCACATACGAATTGGTTTGCAACATACAAACAAATGAGTGGGACTGTCTATATGGGAGATGATAATCCATTACCAGTAGAGGGGGTTGGTAACATCAAATTGAGAATGTTCGACGAATTTTCTGAAATATTGAGTGTTGGCATGTTCCTCGGATAAAGAGAAATTTGATTTCTCTTTCGACTTGGATGATCAAAAGTATAAATTTCACTCCGAGAATGGAATACTTAAAGTGTTTAAAGGCTCCATGGTACTCATGAAGGGTAAACTACATTCTAAATTGTATCATCTTCAGGCCAGTGTAGTTGAAGGGGAAGCTGTTGTAGCTTCTGGGAAAAGTGATCTGAATCGGTCTCAGTTGTGGCACTTGCGACTTGGCCATATGAGTGATAATGGATTGTCTTTGTTGAGTAAGCAAAATTTGCTGAATGGGTATAAAAATCAAGTTTTGAATTTTTGTGAGCATTGTGTGTTTGGTAAACAGACAAGGGTAAAGTTCATCAAGAAGGCCGAGCACAAGACCAGAGACAAGTTAGATTATATACACTCTGACTTGTGGGGTCCAAACAGAGTTCCCTCCAAGAGTGGTGCCAGGTATTTTATGACTTTGATTGATGATTACTCAAGGATGGTGTGGGTGTATTTTCTGAAAACAAAAGATGAGGCATTTTCGACATTTGTTAAATGGAAGACGGTGGTTGAGAGGCAGACGGAAAGAAAAGTTAAGCGTCTTCGAACTGACAATGGGTTGGAATTTTGTAATTCTAAGTTCGATAATTTCTGCAGCAGGGAGGGCTTAGTGAGACACCGCACTTGTGTCGGAACACCACAACAAAATGGTGTTGCAGAACATATGAATAGAACACTTTGTGATAGGGCACAAAGCATGCTTTCACACTCATGTGTTAGCAAAGATTTTTGGGCTCAAGCAATCAATACAGCTTGTTATTTGGTCAGTAGATCTCCATCCACAGCTATTGAGTTCAAAACTCCTTTTGAGGTATGGTCCGGTTCGCCTGCTGATTATTCAAATTTAAGGATATTTGGTTGTCCTGGTTGTGCTCATGTGAGGGATGGAAACTTGAGCCGAAGGCAAAGAAGTGCATATTTCTAGGGTATGCAACTGGAGTGAAAGGTTATAGGTTGTGGTGCACAGATCAAAAGACTCAAGGGCTAATTATTAGTAGGGATGTAACATTCAATGAATCTGCCTCACTGGACAGTCAGAGGGAGAAGGCAATATCAGAAACAGATCGTGGTGTCAGTGACCGCATAGAGCTAGAAATTGAATCTCCACTAGCTCAGCCCAGCAGTTCTAAAGTGGAGGAAGTGGAGGAGGTGCAAAATATTGATCAAGATGATATTGTTGATGCACCTGCGCAACAACAACCATATAGCATTGCAACATGCAGAGAGAAGAGAGCGATCAACCGACCGCAAAGGTTTGCAAACATAGTTGATGGGAATCTTCTTGGATATACGAATCCAGTGGGATTTGCTTTTGCAGTTGCAGAGACCGTTGATGCATATGAGTGTTATAGCTACTCAGAAGCTATTCGGAGTACAGAACCAAATCGACAGATTAGTGCTATGGCTAAAGAGATTGAGTCTCTTAACAAGTTTAGGCATTGCCTAGACTTGGTTGATGTGTGCGGAAATGGATAGAGCCCTTGCGAGGGCTGAGGGCAAGGTAGAGAGACGTTGTTCCTGTTGATGAAGAGAATTCAAGCCAAGGGGAAGATTTGTTATTTGTGGCTTGAATTATTTCCTTGTATTTTTAGGAAACCCATAGTCCCTATAGGTTTAAGAAAACCCATTGTCCTAATATATTTGGGAAAGGAAAACCTATAGTTCTTGTCAAATTGGGAAACCTTTCTCATATATGTTTGAGACCTTTTGGGATCTATATATAGGGGTTGTAGTTGGGGATTCTATAGATTGTATTGTGCTTTTCTTCTCATTCATAGTGAAAAATTCTCTTTGCTCTTGCCCCGAGGATTAGGCTTAGCCGAACCTCGTTAAATCCTTGTGTTGATTTTTGTTCTCTATCTGCTTTGTGAGTGATTGTGTGCTAGTTAACTCACGATATTCCGCAACAGCTTCTGATTAAGGATAAAATGGGTAAAATAAAAAGTTTAAAGTTGGATTGTTTCCAAATATATAAATGTATCATTATTTTTGGAACGGACTATAAAGAAAGCGTGTCATTTATATTGAAACAAATAGAGTAATTTTTGTGAAATTGAAACCTTGCTTCACTTGGTGTGGGTGTAATACACCAATAAGCCACAATTGTACCAATTCCAATTTGATTAATCCCATCTTTCGTTTAAATATTTGTTTTCTTAAAATTTAGTTTGTTCAAGTAGAGGGGCAAAAGTGCACAGTACGTCACGTAATAAGTGTATAAAATGATAACACTTTATTATTTAATTATGATTAATTAATATGTATTCACACTTTTAAAAAAAATATTCAACATAATAAATTAGTATAATTGATGTTAACATTTGATACCAATACAATTTTTACCAAGGAACACCAACTACCAAAGAATTCACGGTGACGCGCGTGGGGTAAAAAGGTCTACTTCAACTTTAGAGCTGTTAGTTAATATAGGGGTGTGGCGTTTGCTGCTTTTTGGTCATTGCTTAGAGAAGGGAGAATCAGAGTTTTCAGTAAGAGAAACCACTTTTATAATATCCATAGGCATACCTTGGAATATAGAGTGTCCCTAGCAAAGGGCAAACAAAGATGAAGTAATACTGTAATAAAGAATAGTTCCCCCTCTTCTCTCTGTCCTTACATCTCTGTCCCTCTTGTCGCTTTTTAGATATCTGGGCTTTTTTTTTTTTGCTTTTTTCTTCTGGACCATTACTGTTTCTTACAACTTCATACCAGTATCTCTTTGAATCCTCATACCCCACTGCCCTAATCCAAAAAGCAAACCCATTTCAGTCCCCTTTAAAGGACCTTCTACATTCCTTAAATTCTTACTTTAATATATTTCCAGTTGGGTACAAGAAAATAAGAAAGTAACTTTTTGAACTCTCAAGACTTCTTCAATCTTCAAGATTCTACTGGTGATACTCCCCCAAAATGGATGTAAGCTTTTTTTATTTTTCGGTTGGAAAATTAATCTTTTATGATTCTGATTTGTGGGTATTTTTTTAGGAGAGCAATTATTATTTCATGAGGAGGAGCCATGTTCCAGCATTTGGTTGCTGGGACTGTAACGATAATGAATTCCCAGTTCCTTTCACACAGTGCTTTGAATCAGCTAGGCAAGCTGGTTTGCTTCGATATAGCTACTATGAAGACCGTGATTTGTACGTCGCCGGCGATCTTTACCAGAACGATATTGTCACGCCTACCATGATCGTCGTTCCTCGTCGTAAGGTAATTACTAGTATTAATTACTGTTAGATACTAATATCCAGTACGTAATGTACATCCTTCTGTAGAGAGGTGAATAAGAGACATAACATGTGAAAGCATTCAATGGTTTTTGTTTTACTACTTCACGTGCATGTTTTCTGAATATTACAACTACACATTTTAATTTCTCTCTTTCAATAATGTACTATATCGTTCAAAGGAAAGTAGTATTACTTCGTTTCTTTCAATTGATGTGATGTAAAATTATTTGCTTAAAAGCCCTCTCTACAAGAAATACACCCTTTTATAATTGAAAATAAATTAATTTTAACTTTTCATTTTATCATAATTTTCATGTTTTTAAGCCACCCAAATCACATCACATGCATGTGTAAAAGTTCTCTTCAAACGGAGAAATAACTTTACTTCGAGGTCGATCAGCCAACGGTTAATTAATTAATTAGATGTGAACTTTGATTGGGAATTTGGCAGAAAAAAGCAGTTGGAAAAGAAGGAAGAAAGGATTGTGAATATGATGATGTGAAAGAAGCAGCAAGTCCTGTTCCAGCAGCTCCTCGTCCTTCACCTAAAAGGGCACCCAAAGCTGTAGATGAAGATCTCTACAAGATTTCCCCAACCTTGCTCTACGCTAAGCCTAAAAGGGTATCTATACTGTCCTCATTCTTCTTGCCCCTAAATTGGAGGGATGGGAAATTGATTGCCTTATTATTTCTCCTGTCAGATATTGCTTCAAAGGAAAAACAAAAAAACTTCTTTCTTTAAATTCTTATGCTAGCTAAAAATTTGCAGAAAGGCATCAAGGGATTCTTTTCGAGCTGCCTGCGGCCAATTTGTGTTTCTTAAACCTGATGGAGCTCAAAGTTTACGAAGAAGAGAAGATTCAAAACATATGGAGGAGGACTATATAGTCGATGTCTATATTCTAAAGTTAGCATAGAGAGTTTGGAGTATTTTCTTGGGTTTTCCTTAGTGAAAAGTGGCCACTGGCCAGCCCAAGAAGATAGTATCCAACATTATCTTGTAATATAATAATGAATAACCAAGAAGCTAGCCTTTTCTTCTCTACTCTATTTCCTGCCGTATGTTTCTTTTTGGAAGTATTTACATGTCATTCCTACTAAACTTTTGTAATACAATAAAGTATCAAGAAGTGGAAAGTATTTTAAATATGGATTAAATGGCTAAAATTTTCTTTATGATAAAAAGTGAAGTAGGTCCGCTCTTGTCTTTATGCTGTCCTCTGCCTTTTCCTTCTATTAATTTTCTGGTGAATATGGTCAACAACGTTATTCATCAGCACTTGAATATATGAACTGCTTATAGTAGCACAATGGAAAGAAACTAAAAGAACCCCAAATTGTCTCATCTTTTGCTAAAGTTTGTTTCTTAATTTCGAATGTTTTTTCTCTAAAAGAAGAGATGAGGGGCATGCAAGGAAGGAAAGTTGGTGAAAGCGTCTAGCGCTTTGCAGAATGAAATGCGATAAAAGAAAACGAAAGAAAAGGAAATGGTATACATAAATTAAAGAGACTCTACTAGGTTAGAAAAAGTTAAATTCAATATATATATATATATATATATATATATATATATATATATATATATATATATATATATATATATATATATATATATATATATATATATATTGTGAAAGCTAAATAAATATCTTAAGCACAACCAAAAATAAGAGTAGAGATGTATTTATTAACTCACTACAACCTTTAGTGGTATTGTATTAACTCACAAAGACAAGAGGTAGATTCAAATTGATAAGCTATTTCACCTAAAGTTAGTGTCCAAACTCTTTTATGCGATAGACAGGGCGCTTAGAGAAAGGTCTGCTATTTGGTAGCATAATTCTTCATTCATAAGACTTCTTCATTTTAAAAGCATGCAAAACGAAACGAAAATAATGTTAAAAAAATATGGGAGGCTATGCAGAACGCGCTTGTATTGTGACAATTATACTCCAAGCTTCTTATGATGTACCTCAAGTATGTGCAAGGCCTAGCGCCTAATATAGTCGAATTGTAATTACTAGACAAATCATGGCTTTTATGATTTTGAAGTTTATTGAGATTCTATATCAATTCAAAAGGTGAATAAGATAATGTTTCTTTATTTTTTAGAAATTATGGGAGTTAAGTAAAATTTATTTTATTTTTCTAATAATAAGATGACAAATTGAAAACAGTCTTAAATGTCCTAAAAGGAAAGCTGGTTTTTAACACAATTACACAAGTGACTCAATGCTGGTGTAGCAAGAGGGCAATTCCCAAGACGTTCTCGCAGTATTACGTTAAGTCGAACTCAGAATTCGACAGACCTACTGGAATTTGGGTAAACCCAGGTAAAACCAATTGGTCATCCGCATCTTGTTTTTTGGGCCACCAAAAAATAATGCAAAACAACACAATTACGCACAAAAATCAAAATTATAGTTAAACCTATCAATAACAGCCTCATTTATTTCGATATCCTTTGGCTGTTATAGTGAAGTACTATTATAGAGGACATATATTATAACATAACATAAAATAAAATAGATTATGAAAAACCTTGACTTTTATAATGAATGGTTATTATATAGTGATAGAAAAATTATTTTAATATCTCAAAAAGAAATATTCAAAAACTATGTCTAGATTCATTTCTTAATATTTTATTTATAAGTCTTTATCATAGTAATTATTTTGAATATTTTTTGTAACAGATTATAAATTAAATGTGACTACTTGATTAGCCTTAATGGCTTTCATTTTGAAACCACCTTTTGAATAGTATTTGTATGACTATTATGAGATTTGCACGTTACTATCCTGAAAGTCAAAAATAATGTTTATTTAATATTAATGGCTTTATCTTAATGAATTTGTTTTTTGCCGTTGCTTACTAGCTTATGTCCACTTTTGGACTATATAATTTATTCTACATTCACTTTGAAAGGTAGACGAAAAAGTGTATAAAACAGAAAGTAAAACTCTTCTTCTAAACTGTTTTCATTGCTGGGTTTTATTTTGTTTAAGCTTTGTTGTTTCTGCTCCTAGTTATACTAGAAGAGCTTGTTGAATCCTGGGGGATACGCCTAATTTTATTCATCATGGTGTGGGCGAAATATCCTTAAGGACAGTGTCCTTGACACGCCTCAAGCTAAACCTTTTATTCTCCATAATCATCCAATTTTTCCAACATATAGAGATGCTGCTATAGAGATGTCTGACTATACTTTTGCCTATTCATTTACTTTCTCCATTGTCTTTTACTTGTCCGGTATTCAAAAAAAAATTCACTTTTACTTGTCACTTTTAGCATATCAAGAGAATTAATTATTCATTTCAAATTATTTTCTCAAATCCATTAAAAATATGTATCACTTAATATGGGTATCATGGTAAATTATGCACTTTATTTATTATTTTTAGGGTGTGCAAAGTCCATAATGCACAAGTAAAAGTGAACGAAGTGTTTGACCAAAAATACAGATCTTGGTTCAAATAATTAAATTTATATAAACAAGGGTTAATCTAAGCTAACAATAATATCCCTAGATGGAGTTCTTAAAGAAGCAACAAATACTATGTAGATATGGTCGGGCAGTGGCGGCGACATACAATAAATATTCCAGAAATCGGAAGCAATGATGTAGCATTCAATAACAATGAATAGCAATAAATGACATTTAAGTAAATAGAATGAATTAGTCACCCAAGAAAGGATGGAGTAAGTGGATGTTCTTTCTAAAAATAATAAATGATAGACAGTCCCTTGAATATCTGAGTTATTCTCGGATCTAGTGAAAAAGTATAGACAAGAATCTCAGTGAAAAAGGTGATGTTTGTATCTTAGCAAATGGGATCTCATTCTCTTTCTCAAGTCAAAGTGTAATTTTTTACAAATGAATATCACATGTCTCCTGTCATAGTGTCTTTTTCTATTTATAGGAAACATGCTCCTAAAAATCCTAACAGTACAAGTGCAGAGAATATCCACTAGAATATTCCATGTAATATCATATCTTGAAACTAGACGTTAAAGCTCCATCAAAGGCACTCGACCTTGGTCTCGACCCTTGCTGACTCCTCGACTCCGTCCCTTGTTGATTCTTCGACTTTGTCCCTTGTTGACTCTTCGACTTGTCCCTTGTTTACTCTTCGACCACAGACTTTGCCTCTTCTTGGATCATTTCAACAAACGACAACTTGGAAGTTTTCCCCTAAAAATATCTTCGTTTAAATATACTAAAGATAGATTTTGACCCGTACAGTTAGTCCCTCCGTTTATTGAGGCCGACTTCAGGTGGGTTCAATGGGCGGATCTTGTTCTTTGTGGTCGACACAATCGAGCGAGCTATGCAGGTCGTGGTGGTTGCGGCGAACTAGCAGCGTGACCCTTCTTGGGCTGCACATTTCAAATGCTTTGAATTTCCCGAGAAATTTGCTGGAACTATGATGTCCACGAGGTAGGATGACATCATGATGTTATGCATCATTATGACGCATAGTCCCGATGTGTTGCTTTGTTTCACGTGTGATCTCTAATTGAACTTGCCGCTTCGGTTCTGGTGCTAGTGATGATGAGCCGTTTTCTGTTCTGGTGCCAAATTTTTTATAAATAGAGGTATTTGGACGCGATTTTGAGGTTTAAATTTTTTGTTGTTTCGAAATCCCATATCTTTCTCTTGCTCTCTTCTTGCTTCGAACTTATCTTCTCCGTTTCAGTGATTCGCATTGTTCTTAGCTCTTCCTTATTCGATACCTCTCTTACCTATATCAAACTATGTCTAACATGCTTTCTAAGTCTGGCGAGGTAAGTCATGTGGCCCCCTTGGCAGTGGTCTTTCCCCCTCATGAGAAGAGTGTCTCTGCCACCGTTGAGGATGGAACCTTCCCGTTGGCAGAAGAGATAATTCCGTGCAGCCCCGATTCCAGATTTGATTTCACCAAATCACCAGAGGCCGATCTTGGAGCCTTTCATTCGGTGATGACGGTAAAGGAATTGGCGGAACATAGGGCTAAATTCGGCATTCCTAATCACATCGAGTTGATCTCGGTGGGGCTGGATACGGTGTAGGTTCAACATCCTGAGTATTGCCCTTTATGCCTATTTCTTTCAAGTTGGCTGTTCTCTCCCCCTTTAACCGTTGGTCGAGGAGTTTTATTGTTACTACGGTGTTTGCCCAGCGCAGCTTGTGCCGTACGTCTATAAACTCATAAAGATGCTTACCAAGTTTGTTGAGATGGCCGGGATCGAGCTGGCATTACGAAATCTAATTCATCTGTTCGCTCTTAGCTTTTATAGGGGGACGGTGTTGAACCTCCGCCATCTAGGGGCAAGTTCCTGGTGGTAAAGATAGACGACAAAGCCAGTCGTCAATTCTAGTTCAACTTTTTCTATGTCAGGACCGAGGACGTGGTGGCCAATGTCGACGACTTTTCCGAGGCTTGGAACTATACTCGTAAGTATTTCAGTCTCTTTCTCGTGTTTGGTCCTAAGTTTTGACTTCTTTCCTTCTTCCTTTGCATCCAAGACCTCACCTCCTCCTTTGGTTGCCCATATTTCTGACGGGGTCGATCAGCTCCTCTCTCACATCGTAGGGATTCATGAATGGCCAAGTTTTTTCAAGAAGTTTGTGCCTGCTCTTATTTTGATTATTAAGTTCCTTTATACCATCGGTGTCTTTTATTTTTGTTTACCTTCTCTAATTCTCCCCTTTCTTATTTTTTCTTAGCTTCGATTAGGGGGTCTACGAAAAGGTCGAGGTCTCCCGCGCCCTCATTCCGGAAGAAGAACACTACCGCGTCCTCGGTTTCTACCCCTACTTCGACTGTGGCTGATTCCACCTTTATTCTAGTGCCTCCTGTTGTCACGTCCAAGCTTGTCCCACCTTGGTCGTGGAGACTTCGGGTTCTCCCTTATATTCTCTTCTTCATGAGGATGATGACCCGTTGCCCGACAATGGGGATTCGATGCCTCGTAAGATGAGGGCCGTGGACGTCGGGGAAGAGAGGTCGGCGGCTGCCGATGTAGGATATTTTGGTTTTTTCCTTCAGGATACGGACGCACTGCATATCGGGGAGAGCCCAGGATAGTATCGAGTCCCCCTGTATGGAGGATGCGAAGGCACGACCTGTGGGGGGCGCGATCAAAGGTGTGGTAGGCTGTGACA